ATAGCCCCGGCGGCGGGGCGCGCCGGGGTCGGCGGTTCGGGAGGTCGCAGCGGTTGGCTCAAGGGTGGGCCGGGGGAAGGACGCCAGGGCGGGAGGAAGGTGGTGTCAACGTAGCACAAGCAGCAACTGCTCATCAGTTCTTGAACCACCAACGGAGGGACAGCGAAAACATTGCCACAAGCTTACTTAACGATCTTGGCACAGGTGAATGCAGGGGCAGCATAGGCCATTTGGGCATTGCGCCGCACTCTTGTGGCGGCAGACAGGTGGGCACTGGCCCACACCCCATGCACGCGGCATGAGCTCCACCCCGATGAGATACAGGCTGGCTTGGAATACCGTCACCAGTCCCTTGCTCGCGATGTTGTCCCTAATGAAACCGGCCAGAGCCACACCAGACGCTGCTGCCTGCAGTGGGGGTGAACGCACGGTGGCAGGGAGGTGACGAGCTGAGGAGCGGTCAAGGGATGATAACGGGGCAGGCACAGGCGATAGGGAGGTGCGATAGAGGTCAGGAGGGAGGGGAGAATCTAAAGCCAGCAGCAAAACGCATTCCGCTTCCTAAAAAACAGGCGGGTGCAGCTGTTAACGCAACTTGGAACTGCTGCAACCCACCCACCTCGCGGCACTGGGGAATATCCTCCAGGGCCCCAGCAGCCATGGCGAGGCTCAGACGAGGGACCCCTGTGTGCGCCGTTGCCATGCGTAGCCGCGCGACACACTGCTCTGCTAGCGCATCCTGTATAGCGCCCACCCGCGCCCCTGCACCACCCTGGTTGGCAACTGTGCGGCTGGGGCCGTGTCTGAAGTTGGCAGGTGTGCTGCTGAGGCTGCCTTGCAGAGTAACCTGGCCCGGGGCAGCGGTGTTGGCTGTCGCGTCGCTGCTTTGCCGCGACATCGTATCGGCAGGTGCCTGTGCTGCAAGCCTGCTGCCGCTCCCCAACCCCTCCTCCGGGGCCATGGAATCAGCGTTGCGGCGCCGTGCGATGTCCGCAAATGAAGGTGACAGGCATGCTTTGCTGCTCTGAACACCTTCCTGGACCTGCTCAAGCAGTTTGCTGGCCTGGCTGTCTGCAAGGCTGCCTGCTACACTCTGCACCGTGCACTTGGATTTGGCGTCCCGGTCTAGCGCATCTTCGCCAGCACCGTTTTCCGCTGCCGCGCCGCCTTGGCAACTCTCATCATCCAAGCTAGCCAGCAGCGCTGTCTCCTCCTCATCCCAAGGTGGAAGGCTGAGCACTGCTTCAGACACACGCGTGCTTGCCTGCTCAACACTGGAAACACCTGGCTGTTTGAGATGATGGCGTTGGTATGTGCCGCTGTGGTGATACTGCCTCCAATGCTGCTGCTGCTGCTGCTCCAGCTGCTCCTGCTCCAGCTGCTCCAGCTGCTCCTGCTCCAGCTGCTCCTGCCCCTGCTGCAGCTGCACGGTGGAGTGCTTGTGAACGTCCGCAGTCTCCAAGACCAGGTCCAAAACAAGAGATGAACCCGGCAACCTGCCCACCATGCTGGGTGTAGCAAAGTGCTCCTCTCCTGTTGGGGACCGCACCACCACCAGCGCGTCAGAATCAAAATGCGCCACCGCAAGCAGCTCAAATCGCTCGTACAGCTGCGATCAATGCGGTTGTAGGAGCAGCAGGTGTTTTGTTTGGACTTGCGGCCTGACAAAGTGAGAAGCAAGGTGCTGTTAAGCATGCTGAGCACAGCCTGCAGCGTCACAACAACAGCAAGGAGGTTGCAGCCACCCAAAAGCATGCCTGTCACCCATGCTGCGCACCTGGCTATATAGATGCATGGATGCTGAGAGCAGCCGGCCCACAGCACTGACAGGCACCATGCCTTCAGCCTTCACTTCCCTCAGGACTCGCCCCTCCAGCCATGCTGCCTCCCAACGCAGCAGGTCATGAGACAGCAGTGCCGCGCGCCACCCGACAGCCAGCGCAGCTGCTGCAGGCATGATGCCGGGCACCATGCGGACTGCGGTGCAGTGGTGCGCGATGAAGGCTGCCAACGCGCTCACGCCGGCGACAGCGCCGCTGCTGGCGACGTGTGTGCTGCTTTCGCTACATGCCGCAGCCGCCGCTGCGGAAGCAGCCTGCTGCACATACCCCTGCACCGCTGGTGGCAGAGTACCCCAAAGCACGCTGAGTGCAATAGGCACTTGCTGCCCCGATCTGGTCCAGTATGTGTGCATCGAGCTGAACTGGTTTGAAAGGAGCGTCTCTTGCCATCTGTCGCCGCTCACGGCGCACATTGTAGCAAGAGACACCAGGAGCTCTGACAGGTCACGACGGCTGGCGTCACTGGTGACCTCTGGCGGGAAGTGGTCGCACAGCCGCACCTCCTCAGGCACCAGGCACTCCCAGTGGCGCGTGCTGGCGTGCGCCCAGCAATGAACCGTGCAATGGGCGGACACTGCCCGTGCTCCGTCCATAACAAGACCTGCGCCTCCATCGTCGCTGCTGTTGCCGCCGCCTGCACCGTCCCCCCTGCCGCTGCGTGTTGTATTGGGTCTCATATTTGGGCTGCATGGCAGGCGCGCGTCAGCGCTGCCCTCCTCCTCCAAGATCATATCAGATGCGGCTGGACGTGGCGCTTGGGGTGACGGTGACTGCCTCTTTGCCCCCTGCATGCTGGAGCACCGCTCATGTCGTTGCAATTGCTCCGCACTGGTGTCTGCAGGGTGGAACATACGCGCTCTCTTTTTTATGCATGTCTGTTGTGTGGGCGGGACGTCGCCTGGGCAGCAGGTGGCCGCCGGCGTTGGACATGTGTGCTGCAGTTCCGCAACCTCACCAAAATCCTGCTGCTGCTGCTGCTGCTGCTGCTCCTCCTCATCCGGCTGCTCCTCGTCCTGCTGCCCCTCCTGCTGGTCCTCCTGCTGCTCCTGCTGTTTCTGGTGCTGCTTCGCGCCTTCTAAATTGCGCAGCTGGCCCTCCCATCCTGGCGGATTGCACCATGCTTGTGTCTGCGGGGCCAGCTCCGTCTGCTCCAGATCCTGTAGCTGCTGCAGCAGGGCCTGTAGTGCAACAGGATCTGGCGGCTGACAACGCACTGCCGTCACAGCGTGCAACAGAGGCAGCGCCGCAGCGCGGCTCGCTTGAGTCACTACTGCGCCCTCGCTTTTGCTGCCAGGGTCGGCGCGTAGCAGTGCCACAGCCTCACCCAGCGAAACCCCGACCTGCTGCATCAGGGCCGACAGCTCCGCCAGCGGCTGCTGCAGCAGCGCCAGCTTGGCCAGGCGCAGGGCAACCAGCACGCATGACGCGCGGTCCCCCAGGTGCGCGCCACCGCCATAGTCACCGACGACAGCGCTGCTGCTGCCACCGCCGCCCGCATGATACAACTTCTCCGCCTGTCTGAACGCTGTCAGCGCCGCCGACCACACCATCGGTGCTGCTGCTGCCAGGCCGCTCTGGCTGAGCAGCCGGCTGAGAGGCACAGGCACCGGCTCGCCCGGCCACAGGCGCAGCAGCGTTGCCTCCCGGTCGATCGAGCCTGAGCCCAGGGATGTTGGGTGCAGGGCTGCTCCAAGGAATTGTGCAGGTTGCTTGGCTGCGTTGTTCACACCCGTCTGTCTGACGTGCTTGGGAGCGAGCTGGCAGTCAACACGTTTCTTTGGCATGTCTGAATGTACCACCAGGACAGCAGATCCAAAAGCCTCAAACTCACCATCACGCGTAGTGTCCAGTTGCTTGACCGCCACCACACTGCGCAGCGCCACGCTGCCGTCCCAGTTGAGGCATCCCACCACAGCACCCTCGATCGACCCCTCGGAAGCGAGCTCTGGCGACAGCTGCCGCAGCCGGTGCGCCGCCAGCAGCAACATTTCGACCTCGTGGGCGCAGCAAAACAGCAGCTGCAAGTGGCCGTCACTCGCCTGCGCCACGAGCCAGTTGTCCAGAAAGTGTCAAGAATTTGAGCCAAAAAATGCTGTTGTTAGCATGGGATTACCACGCTGCCCGAGCAACACGAAACATAGTAGTCTGATCATCTGAGTCAGCACCCGCCAGCGCCGGGCGCTCCGTGCGGGCAAAGGGGTGCCCTGCGCTTGCCTGATAAACCAGCTCCTCCATGACTTCAAGAGCACAGGCGCTATCACTTGCGGAGTATCTCTTGCGACTTTCACTGTCACGCGTGCCACGCCCGCGACTCCTGTGGTGCAACGGTCGTGCATTCAAAATTGTAAGAGTTTGGGGGCTTACCATAAGTCCTTGAAAGCATTGTACGTGTGATTTGAAACGTCAGCATGCCCGTACACCGACAGTCTTGGACATGCCGGTAGACGTCGAGCCATTGATCAGTAGTATCATAAAACGTATAGCATGTAAGATTGTACAAGCCTTCATCCGCATCAGCAATCGCCAGCGACCTCGGCTCATCGGCGTGGGCCAAGCTGCTGATGGGTTGCACATGTGCGACAGTGTCGCTGTGTTCCAGCAACACGTACACCACGACAGCGAGGTTGCTGACTCCGTGCTTTGAATAGTCGTCCGTCCACTTGCCTGCACAACCATGCGCAGCACATGCAGAGACTGCCCTTTCAGGCGGCCAACACCAGCTCGAGCTGGGCCTGAGAAGCTGGCAAATGTAACGGAAGCACCGCACCCCGCGCACTCTCACAAACACAAGCGTGGCCACATACATTACAGAGGAAGTGTTGCCACCGGCCCCTGCTGTTGATGATGCAGTTGTTTGAAGCCTATTGCGTGCGGTCCTTGTGTGTCGGTGCTCAGGCACGCCCGCTTGCCCCCCAGACATACGAACGGATTGAATTCCACAACTCTCATTTCTTATCATCAGATATACACCGCGCCGCCAGCGCGGGCGCCGCCGAGTTGACCACCGGCGCTTTGCCGAGGGCAGGTCACCTCGCATGAGCATACTTGCAGTTGGTGCCATAGCGACACCAACCGTTACGCCAGAAGAAGTCGCACTGCTTGGCCCCATAGGTGGTGCCGCTCGACCCGCTGGGGCCTGCGCCCCCTGGCAGCAGCTCCACCCACGTGTCTCTGCCGTGGAGGGTGAGGCACAGCTGGTCGCCCAGGTGGCGCACCAGGAAGTCCACCAGCGGCAGGCCCTGCGCCTGGCCGTCGTGGTTCATTGGTGGGGTGCCATCAACGGTGCCATCAACGGTCAGGGTCGTTATTCAAAGGAGGGGTGCCATCAACGGTCGTCAGGGGTGGGGGGCACGGCCCAAGAACAAGGGCTGCATTGCATGGGGTGGCCGTGACCACGCACATCGCGCCCACGTGCCCCGCAAAAGCAGGCCCGCACCCCGCCAGCGGATCCGGTGTGCTGCCAAGGGCTGGCAGGCGTCACCCAGCGTCCTGGGACCCACCTTGGCCTCCGCCAGCAGCGCTGCCGGCACAAGGCACTGCAGAACGCTCAGCTCAATGCGCGGCCGCTGCTGCACTTCCATATGGCCGCGCATGGCCACCATCGTCTCATCCAGCACGCCTTGCAGGTGCGCAGCTGGCACAAACAGGGTTGGCCCGGCCCCGGCCCGGTGCCCCTCGCTGGAGCTGGCGGCGCCGCCGACCTCGGTTGGGGGTCCGGTCAGAGGCCTGAGCCGCCCAAACACGTTGCCGCTGCCCTGGCGTGAGGGCGGCGCAGGAGAAGACGGCTCGGCCGGGGCGCCTGCCGGGCTGAAGAGGCGCTCGCGCCCGCTTGGCTGCCGCACTGGTGGCTGGGCCGCCGCTTGCATCGTTGAGACAGATGCTGCAGGCTGCCCGAAGCGACGCCACCCAATATTGGCGAGCACGACGGCATCGGGGTCTGGCATTGAGGGGGCACTGCCCGTGGGCGGGCCAGCGCGGGCCTGAGTGCGGCCGTCGCCCCCTGCAGCTGCTGCTGCAGGCGCGGCCTGCGCGTTGCGATTGGGTCTGCTGATGCCGGCGCGATCGTCAGGGTCATCATCGTCCCTGACGAGGCTGCGTCCGCGCTTCCTGCCAAGAGCTGGCTCTCCCCGGCTGCGGCTGCGGCTGCGCCCACGCTTGCTGCCAAGAGCAGGCTCGGCTCGGCCGCGGCTGAGGCTGCGCCCGCGCTTGCTGCCCGAAGCCTGCTCTCCTCGGCTGCGGCCGCGGCTGCGGCTGCGCCCGCGCTTTTGGCCAAGTTCGGGCTCTTCCCGGCTGCGGCTGCGGCTTCGGCTGCGCCTGCGCTTGCTGCGAGGCACCGGGCTGTGCCCGTCAACCTTCCCACCGCCACCGCTGGCGCTGCCGATGCGCTCGCCGTCCCGCGTGGCGCCGTGCCCGCAGCCCTCCGTGCCAATCGCGCCTTGCTCGCGCCAGTAGCCCAAGCTCACGAGGCCGGGCAAGTCCGGCCGTGTGGCCAGGACGCGCAGCCCTCCTGCCCTAAACTTGTCCTCGCACTCCGCCGGCGCAAGCAGCACCGCCTTCACGTCAGGGCGCGCCATGACGACGACAGCGCCAGGGTCAAAGTTGGCTCTGGCGAATTCGACATCGTTTTGGTAGAGCTGCGGGGAGTGAGGGGGGGGGAGGGGCAGGGGAAGGGGGCGTTGCCGTGCGCGTCAGGGTCTGTGATGTTTCGGGAAAGGGCGAAGGGCGCGCAAGGCGCTTGTGGACCGGCAGCGTTCGCCGGCATGGCGGCCGCGAAGTCCCGTCCGCCTTGAAGCGAGCCGCCACGTCCACTTCGTGTGCCCACCCCGCGCGCCGGCAAGCAACGGTCCGCTTGCGGGGTCCTCGCGGCCCCTCGTGCCACGGCATGTGTGTGTAAAACCGCACCTGCATGTACGGCAGGAGGGCGGCCGGTGCCAGCCGCCGCATGCCCTCCCCTGCATTGACCCCGACGCCCCTGCGCAGCGCCTCAGCCAGCACGTCGCCCTGCAGGTTGCGCACCAACCGCTTGAACAGGCGCTGCTTCAGGAGGTCCGACAGCCAGTGCCGCGACAGCACCGCCCACGGCCCGGCCTCCTTCACTGCTGCATCTGATGTCCCCGCGCCTGCCCCAGCAGCAGCCTTCGCGCCCTCTACTGCCGCAGGCGCTCCCCCCGCGCCCGACTCCGGCCAAACCAGCAGAACAGCTGGGCAGCGCTTGCGGATGAACGCCGCAAGGGCAGACACTTTGCCGCCCCCACCGCCTGCAGAACCGCCTGCGCCCTCCCGCTCAGCAAACGCCAGCACTTTGGGGTCCAGCTGCTGGCGCAGGTCCGCAAGCGCCACCCTTGCGCCCACGCAGTGCGCAGCGCCGCTCGCGTCGAGCCGCTCAACGTCGGGGGTGGTGCTGGATGCGAGCGCCAGCGCGATCATGAGCTCGGCAAGGCAGCTGCGGTCCGCTGAGGCGTCGGCGCCTGCGGGAAACCCGCCGCCGCCCAGGCTGGGGCGCCGACGCTCGCCCAGGCTGCCGCTGGGCAACGGCGGGGCCACGGGGGCCGCCGCGTGGCTCCTGGAAGGCGGCGGGCCTTCGTCCCGGCGGCTGTCTTCGCGTCCCTCTTGCTGCTGGCTGCTGATTGGAGGTTGCAACCCCTTCTTGCGATTGTCTTGCTTGTTCCGATTTTGGGAAGGGCTTTGTTGCTCTGTGCGTCCCTGCTGCTGCTGCTGCTGCTGCTGCTGTTGCTGCGGCTGCTGCTGCGGCCTCTCTTGCCGCTTTTCCTGCTGCTGCTCCTCCGGGTGTGGCGCCTCCTCGGCCCGCGGCCCAGCCTTGCGCCGTCGTTCTTTAAGCTCGCCGCGACCTTGGTGATCGTCCGCTTTTCGCAGCTCGACACCCAGACTGCGGCTCTGGCGGCCGTCCAAGGCATCCCTCGGGTTGGCCCCGCCTGCGCTGGAGCCCGGCCTCGTACCGCCCTCGGGCTGAAGGTTGTCGCTGCGCTCGCCCTCGCCCCCCCTGCTGCTGTTGCTGCGGCCGTCACGGGTGTGCGGGACGGCAGGGCTCCGCTGCAGCGAAGCCTTGGCCCCGCCGTCCGCAGTGACTGGCCTCGCCGTGCCGGGCCCCTTCGGGTGCGGCGTGTCTAGTGTAGGATTGCGCTCGCGGCGGGGTGACGAGGGTCCGTGGCCAACCCGTGGCTGCCTCGCCTGTCCTTCGTCAAGTGCCTCTGCCTCGAGCATGCGCAGCTCCTGGAGGGCCTCCTCCTCTTCCCGCTGCTGCCGCTCCTCATCCTGACGCCGGCGCTGCTCCCGCTCCCGCCAGATGCGCAGCGCCTGCTGTGGCCCCTGCATCTGCTGCAGCAGCGCTCTCATCGCCTCGGGGATGGGCGCCTGGCAGCGAGCCGCGCTGACCTTGTGCGCGAGCCGCAACACCTCCCCGTGCTGCGGCAGCGTGAAGCCAGCGCCAGGAGGGTTGCTGTCGCCCAGCGGCCCGCTGCTGCAACTGGCTAGGCGCAGCAGCGGCACGACGTCCTCCAGCCCTGCGCCCGCCTGCTGCATCAGCGCCGACAGCTCCGCCAGCGGCTGCTGCAGCAGCGCCAGCTTGGCCAGGCGGAAGGCCACCAGCGCACAAGATGCGCGGTCCCCAAGGTAGGCGCCACTGCAGCAGACGCTGCCATCGTCATCGCCAGCACGATTGACGCCGCCGCTGCCGCTGCTCTCCCATCTGACCGCGTCCGCCGCCCTCTCGGCCTCCTGGAACGCCTTCACCCCCGCGCTCCACACCCCGGGTGCGGACGCCGCGAGGCCGCTCTTGCTGTGCAGCCGGCTGAGGGCCACGGGCGACGGCTCGTTCGGCCGCAGCTGCAGCAGCGTCGCGTCTCTGTCGATTGCGCCTGAGCGGCCAACATTAAGGGTGGGTTGCGTTGGGTTGGGCTGCTGGAGCATGACCATACTGGCGGTTGCCCAGCGTGCTGCCACCTCACCGCTTGCAGCGTGGCCACTGCATTGCAGGCAGGTCTGCCACAATAAACACCCAGGTGACTGCTCACCATCGCGCGTAGTGTCCAGTCGCTCCACCGCCACCACACTGCGCAGCGCCACGCTGCCATCCCAGTTGAGGCACCCCACCACAGCACCCTCGATCGACCCCTCGAGGGCGAGCTCTGGAGACAGCTGCCGAAGCCGGTGCGCCGCCAGCAGCAGCGCCGCGGCCTCGTCCCCGGAGCAGAATAGCATCCGGAGGTTGGCGTCGCTCGCCAGCACCAGCCCCTACATGCGCCACGGGACATGGTAGGCACGACTGGGGTCCCCCAAGCACTGCAAGCCGCGAAGTCGCTCGCCGCTGGGCGTTGTTGACGGCGGTTCAGGCGGGCGCCTTCACTGCTAGGCCCTGCTGGGCTCGTTCAGGGCTGGCCGCGTCCACGCTGCAGGCAGCAGACCTAGGTTACGCCGGGCTTTGGAACCGAGGCGCTCAGCGGCTGGCGCAGCACGCTGCGCGAATGCGCGTGCTCCGGACGGGAGTCCGCACCTGCAGGCCCAGCTCGTCCTCTTCATATGGCGGGGGCGCTTCTATCTCCGTCTCTACCTCCATGACCTGCTGATGCTTCAGGCCTCACTGCGAAACACCACAGCTCGATTTGCAGGGCGCCGGGCGCTCATGCCATCACCAAGACTCACTGGGAGGACACCGTTGCGAATGAGAGCGTCGTTCACTCACATCATGCAGTCGCGTTGTGTCCTCGTGAACCAGTTGAAAACGTATGAAGTACGGTAGCCTAGATCTAGTGGGGCACGGCTCTCAATAGATCAGCCCGGCCAGCATCGATGGCCATGGGGCCGCGATTGCTGGCAAAGGAAACATGGAAAGCAGTTGTCGCTGTGGCGAGCTCAGTGGCGCCTGGCGCGGCACTGCTGCAAGGGCACGCGCTGCCGGTGCCGCGCAATGCAGCCGCCTGGCGTCAATGGCAGCAGGTCGCGGGGTTTGCATCTGCGGCACAGGCAAACGGGCAGGCCAAACCCCCACGCCTGGCGCTCAGGAGCATGGTCCTGGCGTATGTCGAGGTGAGGCGCCGGGGCGTCTCCGTGCTGGCAGCTGGGAGGCCCGACCGTCTGCTCCACGCTCCCGTCGCAGGCCTCGTGCGGTTGCAGCCGGCAGAAGGAGGCGGCCCACGTTCAAGAATTCAGCGGGTCAACAAATGGTGAATTTCAACCTGGCAGGGGCATCTCACAAGCCTAACAAGCAGCGCCGCCACGCCTGCCGCCCCGCCCCCCCCCCCCCACTCCCAGAGCACCATGAGCGCGCTCAGCATCCCCTCTGGCGAGCTGCAGCCGCTGCTGGCGCGCCCCTCCACCTCCGAGTGCGACGTCCTCGCATGGGCGCAGTCCAAGGTGGCCGCCCACCCCGCGAAGGACGCGGCCGCGCCGCACCTGGACCGCATCGCGCGCCTGCGCCGCAGCCTCGGCGCCGCGTCCCGCAGCTGGCAGCAGCCGCGCTCGCCGCTGGACCTGCTGCTGCTGCGCGTCGGCGGCACGGCGCTGGCGGCGCGGCTGGCGGTGCTGCCCGAGGCGGCCCTGGAGGGCCTCCCCGAGTACGCGCTGGCGGCCGCTGAGCTGGCACGGTGAGGGTGGGCGACACACCGGGGCGGGGACTGTGGGCGTGGACAGGGGGTTCCCGACGGAGCGCAAGAGCGCGCCACAGGCCAGGCACACTCGCTTGCTACAGGCGGGAAGACCGTGAAGCTGCGGTGGACGAGCACGTGGCCCCGGCGGCAACTGTGCCGCCCGTATGGATGTAGAGTGGTTGTTGTGAAGGCTCGTCCTGCCGCGACGTCGATACTGGGCTGGCGATGGCAAACCCACATACAACTCAACGCCACCTCACGCAGCCGATCGGGCGACGCCGAGTCCGACCAGGATGTGCGCGGCGCCCTCCGCGGCGCGGCGACGCAGCTGCTGGCGGCCACACCCCTGGAGGTGCTGAAGCACCCTGGGTTCTGGCGCCACCTGCGGCCTGCGGTTGAGGCAGTCGCGGGCATGCAGAATGAGCTGAGGCTGGCGGCGGGGGCCGACACGGTCGCCGTGGTGGACGCCCTGACGCGGGGCCACGAGCTGGTGGCTGCACTGATCGGCCCCGAGGCCTTGGAGGCCGCGGTGCAGCTGGCCGCCACGGCGCCGCTCGGCATCGGCGACGGGCAGGGGCTGCCGGAGGCCGGGTGGCTCGAGGGCGCAGCGCCCGGCGACGTGGCGCAACTGCGGCTTGCGCAGTGGGTGGCCGCGCAGCTGGGGTTGTCGGTGTTCATGGGCTGCGGCAACGCGCCGCCGAGCTGGGACCTGGTGCGGCGCGCGGCGCTGGTGGTGCCCCCGCTGCCGGAGCTGCCGGCGTCGCTGGTCGCGGCCTTCCAGGCGGCAGCTCCCAGCCTGCTGGATGCGCTCGCCACGCAGCCCCTCGCGGCGCTGGCGGGGGGTAGGGTGGACTTCTGGCAGCTGCTGGCCGAGGGTGACGAGGCGGGGCAGGTGCGTCCATCTGGGTGGCTGGAAACATACATCAGGGCCTTTGAGGGCAGGATGGGTAGCGGGGCGCTTGGCACAGTTGGTTGTGTGACCCACCCTGCCATTACGTTGGGGTTACTCTGGGTGTGGGGGCCCCTCATGCGCACAGGTTGGCCGCGTTGCGCCTGCGCACAGTCGAGACGGTCACTGACACCTCAGCGTCCCCCCGCCCCCTGGCCACCACCTTGAAACCGCAGGCGCTCGCCGCCGAGCTGCGGGCCTGGCGCGCCGAGCGGGCCGTTGCAGGATGCGTGGCGGTGCTGTCGTCCCTCACGCGCGCCGAGGTGGAGGCCCTCACGCCGCAGCAGGTGGCGGCCGTCCAGGGCCGCGTGGCGGAGCTCGGCGTCGCCGCGCGGCGCCTGTGGGACGGCGGCCTCGCGGCGGCCGCGGCCGGCCGCAGCCCGGTGCACCCCTCCACCCTCGCCGCCCTGTCGGCCGGGAGCCGCCGGGACGACGCCGCCGCTGCGCTGCAGGCGGCGCCCACCGCGGACAGCGGCGCGCACTGGGAGGCGCTGCAGCCGCTGGCATGGGCGCTGCACACCAGGGGCGGCAGTGGGGCCTCCGCGGCGCGGCTGGTGGCTGCCGTCCTGGAGGGCAGCCGGGCGGCGTTTGAGGCGGAGGCTGCCGGCGTGGTGCAGGCGGCTGACGTGATCGATGACCTCAGAGTGGCCTTCCAGCTGGAGGCTGAGGTGGCGCGCCTGGACAGCGTGGTGCGGCCGGACAGGCTGCTGTCGGGTGGGTGTTTTTTTGGGAGGGGGGGGGGGGGAGGTGCTGACAATCTGCTGTGGGTTTGGGGTTTGGGAGACAGGCTCGTTGGCCTGCAGGGCCAGGCACGCTTGTTGGTGCGCTGAGCAGGCGGCAGCGCGCAGCGTTGACGACCCGGCGGGGTGTGCCTGATGCGACGGACGGCCTCATCCCTGCGATCGCGTCACTCTCGATGTCTTGGCACCGCCCTCACTGTCCGCGATGCTGTCGACCAAATTGACCGCCGCCCATGGTTTTCAGGGGAGCTGGACAGGCACCTGGAGGCGCTGCTGCCAGAGACCCCTGCGCTGCGGCCGCTGCAGAGGCAGCTGCTCTTCGGTTCAGCAGAAGCCGGTGGCGGTGGTGGTGGCCGCGGCGGCGTCTACCACGACCCACAGCAGGCGCAGTCGCTGCTGCCGGCGCTGCTGTCGTTCCTGGGGCAGTCCGCCGTTGACGCGGAGGCGCGCGCCGGCGGCCCGCCCGGCGACGCGGCCCGCGGCCTGCTGCGCTCGTGGCGCGAGGCGTCGGCGCGGCTCGCGGAGGCGCCCAAGCTGGTGCCTGCGGCGCTGCAGGGCTTGTTTGGCGGGCTGCTGGCCCTGGGCAGTGACGCCGACGACACGCGGCTGGGCGCGCTGACGGCGCAGGAAGCGGAGGCGCGGGTGGGGGAGCTGCAGCGGCAGCTGGCGGGCTTTTTGGCGGCGTGGGACGCAGAGGTGGCGGTCCAGGCTGACAGCAACGGCATCGGCGGCGGCGCGGAGGTGACGACGGCGCCGGACGGCGTGCGGCGGCCGGGTTGGCAGGCCTCGCAGCTGTCTGGCAGCGTGCTCGGCGACCACGCGAGTGTCAAGACGCTGATGGAGTTGGTGGGGGAGGAGGAGGCGCTGGGCATAATGGCGGCGCACGGTGGCCGCGGGCGCGACGGTGCGCCAGGGGACGACTCGCGTGACGACGGCGACGCGCAGCCGTACGAGATGCTGGAGCTGGTGCAGCGCGACATCCACCTGCAGCGCTACCTGGCGGTGGGCACCTGCGACCCGCATGCTTGTATGTAGGAGTGACGGTGTGTGTGCCTCGTGCATGCGTGCATGCACGTGTGTGATATGTTGGTGTTGGTTATTTGTGTGTGCACACGAGAGTGCATGTATGAAGAGGGACTACTGGCACAGGCCCAGGGAGGGGATGCACCACGGGGCGTGGCCATCCATGCATCCATGCCTTGGCACCTTTGGCAGCAGCTGGTGTTGGTGAAGGCATCTGCCGCACGATTGTCATTTGTAGCCACACAACTGTGCCCTGGGGTGGTTCCAACCCCGTACCTGCCCACAACCAAATCACCCCACCAGAACGAGTTTGACCCGAGCCTGGGAGTCGACCTGGTCAACGCCCCCCTGGGCTGGCGCGATCCCCGGCTGAGCGAAGAGCCTGCCTCCTGGCTGGAGGGCATGCGGCCGCTGCTGGACGACTACCTTGCGGCACAGGGAGAGAGGCCCACGCACGACATTGAGTGGAAGGTGTGTTTGTACTTGTGGGCACGTGGGGAGTGCACGTGCACTGTTTGGGGCAAAGTGGGGCTTGTGTGAGCTTGTGCGTGTTGGTTGTTGCATGTTGATGGTGCATGATATGCTGTCAGGACGTGACAGCCCAGCTTGGCCTCTGCTTTTGGTCAAGCGTTCACCTGCCATCCCATCCGCTCATTCCACCAGCACTTTGGCGCGCCCCACCCACGGTCCATCCACTCAATCAACCTACGAATTGACCATCCTGCCAACCGGCCCACCAACCGACCAACCGAACAGGTGTACAGCGAGATGGCGCTGTCAGAGGCGGAAGACGCCCAGGCGCAGCACGAGGCGGGGCTCCGCGCGCGCGGCCACAGCGCGATGCACTCCTCCGCCGCAGACGCGGCCTACCTGCGCCAGCGCCTCGACGCGGCCGTGCCGGCCGGGTCGGTGCTGGGTCCCGCGGCGCGGCGCTACCTGGACGCCGTGCTGCAGAACAGCAGCTGGACGTTTGCCCAGCGGCGGCGCCTGGTGGACCGGCTGGGGGAGATCGCGGCGGCCCTGGCAGCGAACCCGCCGAAAAGCTTCCGGGGATCACCCTTCTCCGCAGTGTTGCAGCCAAACGGGCCGCCGGCGGTGCCGCGGCTCAGCCAGCCACCGGTTGGGCGGGGCGCGCGGAGGGGGGTGGCGCTGGCCATGGGTGTGGTGGAGGGCAAAAGCACGGTACGCGCGGCATCTCAATAGGCGGCGAGCACGCTCATGGCTTTACTCTGCTACGGCTGTGCTTCTGATTACTGTTCTGATCACAGCTTTACGCTTGCTACCCCGCGAGCTGCTGCTCAGCAGGCGTTGCCTTGGATGTGACGCCTGGGTGCACCCATCAATTGCCAGTAACACGTTGACCTTCAATTTACACAGTCTTGGCTGCAGGCTGCGCATTTCTCGAAATTAACGGCAGCTGCCTCGACGTCTTGATACACCGCCCACAGCCACGACAGCCACCCTCGTGTGCGCCGTCCTGAGCCTGCATCCCCTTCTCCCTGTCAAGCCGGCAGCCCTGCGCGCCTCTTGACGTACGCCACCCAGTCTGCCTAAAGGAATAGAATGAGCAAGCGATGCGGTTGGGACGACTGCCGTGTGACATCCCCACCAGGCGCTGGCAAAGTCAGCAGTGGCGACATCACAGGGCGCAGCAGCCCAGAAAAGCTCGCTGCACCGCCGGCAGCAACAACCGCGCACCCCCAGCAGCCCGCAGTCCCCCGGGGCCCCACCTTGCGGGTCTTTGACTTCGCCGCGAGGCCCATGAACTCCTCGTCCTCCAGCATGTGCTCTGTCACCCAGCCCTTGAGCTCCGCCAGGGTGAGGCTGGACACGTCAGCCGGCAGGGCCGCACGCGCCCGCGCCACGTCACCCGCCACGACCGCCGGGGACGGCCCGGGGGACTCGCTGAACGGGGAGGAGGGCCGCGCGCCGGCTGGGGTCGATGCAAACTGCTGCTGCTGCTGGGCGGCTGCGAGGGCCTCGCGCGTTGCGGTGTGGGCTTCGCGCTCCCGCAGCAGCTGAGCTGTCAGGTCAGTCACCTCCTGGACAGAGTGCGTGTGTGTATGGTGGTGGGGGGGAGTTGGTGTGGGTTTGGTTTTCAAAAAAGTTCAGTCGCAACCACGCTGTTCCAGCAGCGTGGTCGCATATTGCTGCAACGCCCTGGACCCCGGGCGCCCCCATCCCTTATCGGCGCCTCACCTTGAGCTTGCTGCTGGCCACAGCACGCTCCTCGTCCAGCGCACGCTCCGCACGGGCAGCGGCGTCGCGCGCCCCCACAGCCGCCGCCTCGACCTCGGCCAGCTGCGCCCTCAGCGCCCCCGCGTCGCGGCCCGCCGCCTCCGCAGCTGAAAGCCGTGCCTCCAGGGAGGCCGCGCGCCCCTCGGCTGCTACGGCCTCGAGCTTGGCCTTGTCGCCCACAGCCTGCGCCGCCGCCAGCTGCTCCCGCAGCGCCGCGGCCTCCGCTCCTGCACGCTGCGCTGCCCCCAGCGCCGCCGCCGCGCGCGAGCCCTCGTTGCGCGCCGCCGCCAGGTCAGCCTGCAGCCTGCGCCCCGCCTCCTCGAGCTGGGATACCTGATGTGGACGAAAGGTGTTGGGGAGGGTGGCGCCAATGTGTGCGTGGACATGTGGCAGGGTGGGGTGGAATGCGATGGTGCCAAGGCATTCGGGCCAGAATTGACGTCAGCGCCGCTGGATAGAGCCCTGATAGAAAGCGTCCTCACCTGCGCCGACAGCCGCGCCACCTCTGCCTGTGCCTCCCCCAGCGCGCCACCCTTCGAGGCGACCTGCCCCTCCGCGCGTGCCAGCTGCTCCCGTGCCGCCGCCAGGTCCCTGGCCAGGCCTGAGGCACGGCCCTCCGCCTCGGCAGCACGCCCAGCCTCGACGCGCAGCTGCAGTGTGCACGTCAGAAGGGCGTGTCCCCGGGGCGCATGTTGATGATGCGGCTGGCTCTCGAGGTTCTTCTTGCCCGCTGCAAAGAAGTGGCCATGCAACAGCTAATCAAGCTAGCACGCATACAGATAACCCCATCATCCGCATACGGCACCCACAGGCGCAGGGCCACCACCCCCACCTGTGCGATGTGCGCCTCCCCCTCCGCGACCTTCCTCAGCGCGCCGTCCCTCTCGCCGATGATGCGCCCCACCACGCCCTTGATGCCCCCTATGGCGGTGTTGACCAGGAACTCACTGGCGCGCCGGTACTTCCAGGGGCCCTGCACCGCCCTGTCATACTCCGCCAGGAACCTTTGGGGTTGAGGGGGGATTTGGGATGGGCGTGAGGGACGTGGGGAGACGCCCCAGATGACGAAAGGATGGGGGGTGCTGAGCGTCAGCACTCATGCTGCGCGCCGCACCGCATCACCCTTCAGAACACGTCCGCCCCACACCAGGCCCCGCCCCGCCCACCTCTGCAGCTCCGCCTCTATCGCGTCCAGGCTGGCCCCCGCGCCCTCCATCATGGACCGCAGCTTGGCGCGCTCAGCACTCAGCAACGCCTCCGCCGCCGCCTCGCTGGCCGCGCGCAGCTTGGTGCGCGCCGCGGAGAAGCGCCCATCAGCCACCTGAGGGTGGGAGTGGGGATGGGCGGGGTGGGCGGGTACAGGGGCAGTCGGAATCAGGAAGATGGAGCAAAAGGCGTGTGCGTTGAGGCGAGCCAGTATCAAGGTGGGCTGAGGCTGAGTGCAGCAGCCAACACAGGAAGGGGTTTGGCGAAAGTCCTGTACCTACCGACGCCCGCTGTCAGACCCTCAAGGCACCTCACCTTCCTCAGCCGCTCCTCGTGCTCCCCCACCAGCTGGGGGTCCCCCAGGGCCGACTCCTTGAAGAGCTTGACAGCACCAGACAGCGCAGCCTGGCAGGAAACAGGGGGGACAGCTTGGGTTGCGGCTGGAGAGTGAGCAAGGTCACGCCTGCCCGCTGCATGGAGCAGCCCACTCGCCCTTCGGAGGGCGGCGCCATGGCAACCCCCCGCCTTCCCCACAACAACCTATGCATTAAGCCAGAAGTATAGCCAAACCCCTTCCTGCGACATGCGGATGCAGCCCCGCACCACACAATGTGTGCTGACGCGTGGGCATGTGCGCGGGCCCTCCCCCTCCCCCCAGTCATCCGACCTGGTAGCTGTCCAGCAGCTCCGCCTCGTCAGCGACGCCCTCCTCCCTGAAGCCCCCCGCGAAGGAGGCCAGGGCGGCGTCATAGGCCCTCTGGGTCTCAGCGCGCGCCACGCCCTGAGCGAGGGGTGCAAGGCAGCAGGTGGTGCCGGGACTACTTACTGGTGCAGGCCCGGCATAAAAGCCCAGGGGCGACCTCGATGCTCATCATACATGGCAAGTCTGCGAGACCCTACTTGGCAATCGCCTTGCTCGCACTGGCACGCCTGCGGCCACTGCCTGGCTGCACTTCACCTCACTCTTCACTTACCTGCCAGGCCGTGACGAGCTGTGGCACCGCGCCCTCGTTGAGCGCCGTGACGTAGGCTCCCGCCAGCTGTGCGTAGACGCGGCCCGACACCATGGTGCCCGCAAACTGCAGGGGCTGCTCCTTAGAGTGCAGCAGCACCATCAGGTCACCCACACCCTGGAATTCGGGGGTTGCAGCGAAGATCAACCAGATGCAGTGGAGATGGCACTGGTGATTGTGGTGGTGGGATCATTTGAACAAAGGCTGAAAGGTGGGTTGCAGTAAAGCTGCGCCTTACGGAGGTGACAACTGGCATGCTCAGCGGCGTGAGCACAGGCACTATGAAATCAAACACGCCATCCCATCCGGACCCTGGCCGCATCGCAGCGCACCTTTTGAAACTCTGGCCTGAGCTGTGAGAATGTTATCTTGTCAAGCCGGTTGAGGTCCTCCTCTAGCAGCATAGGCCGCAGCAGGGTGTGGGCGTCGCGGTCCGGGAACACCGCCCTGATGGTGGCCCGCATCTGGGGTGGTGCGCATGCGTGTGCAGGTAGGGCAGGGGCTGCTGGTGGAAGACCAGGCTGCAGTGACAACAGCAGCGAATGTCACACGAACGTACACCCAGCCTTGGCAGTGCCAAGTTGGCACAAAACCACCCACAGAGACTGCATGCGACCATGCCGACGCGCTGGCCTCAGGAGTTTATACTGATTCCCTGTTGACAACCACCCACCTGGTTGCGGTTGTCCTCGTCAGCGCCGCCGCCGCCCCTCACGTCCGCCAGAACCTCTTCCAGGTACTGCCCCGCACTGATGCCCCCCTTGCCGCCCCTGCTGCCACCAGCCCCCGCCAGCTGCAGCTGAAAGTCGCGCAGCAGCCACACAAATGCCGGGTGGAAGTCTGCCTGCCCGCCGCCGCGCCCCGATGTTGCGCTGCGCTCCTTGATGCGCTTTGCAAGCTCGCAGACCATGGCCAGGCGCTCCAGCGCGACCGCGTCGATGGCCCCGAGCTGGTTGTACACGAACACGCTGGACAGCAGCACCGCCAGGCTGAAGACCTGCGCGCTGTGCTTCTGGCCCTGGTCCACCGCGTCAACGCCCTCACAGTCCACCAGCAGCTGGAAGCAGAGCGGGGGGTTGTCAAGTCAAGCAAGGATTCGCCATTGGAGCATAGCAGTGCAGTGCATGAGTGGTCAGGAGCACGTGCAGCAGCTCGCCAGGAAGGTCCTGCAAGTCCACCGCATTGCATTGCTTCAGTAACCAACCACGCCTCCCACCAAGCCTGCCATGAAATGCACAAGCCCAATCATAGCCAGTCTTGCCGGTGCGCACCACGTTGCACGGCCGCCCGTTGGCGTCTGTACTGGGTATTGGGACGCTCCACATCCACAAGCCGCGCGTGCATGAGTGCTGAGTGGGCGACACCTCGAAGCCCTTTGGCAGCTCCTGGAGTTTGAAAAGGATAGTGATTTGCTTGAGTTGGCATGAGCGCCTCCGGATGACGGAAAGCCATGCGTGCTCACAAGTCAGGCACTTGTAAGCGCGGCGTGCGTGTGCCTGCTGCACAAGCCAATATGGCGCCGTGACCGCACCACTCCTGTCCTACCATGTTGCTGCAGCGCACCTGGCCAGTCAGCCGCCCCAGCATAGTGTTGAGCAGAAAGCTCTTGCCCTGCCGGGCGCGGCCGCACACCGCCACCGTGCACAGCGGCCCTGGAACGCGCTCCAGCAGCTTCACCGCATCTGGGTTGACCTCCCAAGTGCGTGAAGCCTCGTTGAAGCCGATCAGCAGCACCGGCTTGCCCTGTGGCACCTTGACTGGTGGCAGGGCCTTTGATGCGGGGGCTGCCGCTGCCGTGGACGCCGAGCGGCCAAACCAGCTCTGCGCAGCGGCATGGTGACGGCTTGAGTGGGTTGGAGTATATCGTGACAAGCATTGCATATCGCAGCGTGCAGCCTTCGCAAGTTAGGGATCGATGCAAGCATCCTCTCAAGGGACAAGGTGTCGTGCGCATGCATCACCCGGCTGAGCAATCGCTGCAGCGCGTCCGTGCGCTGTTAGCAACCTGCCCGCATGCGCCTACCATGGCTGCGAAATATTGCGTGCCTACTAGTTCTAAAAGTTCGCACGCGTGTCAGCACAGCGCTGATACAGTTATACCATGCAGATCGCGCGGGATCGACGGATCAGCGGCTGTGAAGGTGGCGTCGTAAGTACAACACGTCTCTTTTAAACGCGGCCAATGCAATGCTTTATGATACGGTACGATGGCGACTGATTACTAGACGGGCTGCGATGTACCGGTTGTGCATGCTCTTCACAACAGAGCTGCGCATGGAGCTCAAAAGCGCACAGCGCACCGGCCAACACCCCGCTCTCCTCAAATTTTCAGGATGTGCTGATTGATGAGTAGCGCCCAATGCGTAAACAACCGCCACCTGTGATGTGTGAAGAACAGTGCTTCCCTGTGAGGCCACACGCAACCCATTGCCTGGCACGGTGCTGGGGTGCTGGTGAGCACCTAGCGACGTTTGCCAAGCTGATCAGGGATTTGAAGGAATCAGGCAGGATGATACGTAGGGGGATGCGTGTAGGGCCGACAATTGACTTGACACGCCTGTCTAACACGAATTCCAACTGTCCAACGAGGCAGTCCAGTGCGTCAAGCGTGGCAGGGCTTGGCACGCTTCTACCCGTCGACCGCACATGCTCGCAATTAAGAACTGATCAGATAGCTGTGCAACTGAATGCGAGGTGGAGCAGCTTGATAGGGCCATGACTGCAGGAGAACAACCCTAGATACTTTTAAAGTCCTTGCCGCTGAGCCCAAGCGACCGCAGGGGCACCACACGATTCTGCTTCACCCGTTACCTGTGAGCCAACACGTGATGCTGACGGCTGTCTTTTGCAAAGGGGTCAGTATCGGCTGTCCTTGACCCTTTGACTGCCAGCCAGCACAGCGCCGTCACTACGCTGTGGCCGGGCGGCGTAAGGCCCACTCTCACCGGCAGCTCAGCAGAACACAGTTCACGGTCGCACGTATAGTATCTTCGTACAGAGATACGTACATTGAACGTTGCAACCCGGACGCGCGCTCCCGAGTTCGCTTGTCAATTCACTCCAAGGCACCCGATCTCGAAACGTGCTTGCGCAGCCAGCGCAATGGCAACGTCAAACATCGAAGACTTTGAGAAGGGCAACGTGCGTGCCGCCACACAGCGCTTTGACAAGGACGCCTGTCACTGATGAGGGAGCCCGCATGTGACGGAGCCTTGGCCCATCAGCAGCCTGAGGGTGACGCACCAGTTCGACCCAGGTCAACGCACACTGGCGCCACACAGGATCAAAGCACGGCGTCTGTTGAGATTTCCGATCACAACAGAAGCTGTCGTGATGGCAATCCTTGCACTCAGGGATGGCCCTGCCCCTCACATGTATTGTTCCACAGGCGGCGTTTGTCGAGGCGTTTGACCAGGACACCACCGGTGCCTTGGCAATTCCGCCGCAGCGCAAGGCCCTGGTGCTGGCCTGCATGGACGCACGCCTGCATCCTGAGAAGGTGAAAGTCGACTTGTTGAGCCCACCCTGGCACAAATGGTGCTGCAGGCCGCGATTGCGGGATCCCAAACTTTCGCTTGGGCGGAGGTCGCTTGTGTTGAGCACGCGCGTCAGTAACCCCACAACCCCTCTGGAATTTGTCTGAGAACTCACTTTCTCAGTTTATGTGCCCCACCTCAGGTGCTGGGCCTGGAAATAGGTGACGCACATGTTGTGCGCAACGCAGGTGGCCGAGCCTCTGCCGACGCCTTGCGCTCCATCGCCATCAGCCAGCGACTGCTGGGCACCCAGGAGGTAGTCGTCATCCACCACACAGACTGCGGCATGCTCACATTCAAGGTGAAGCCGTTGCACAGCCGCACTGTGGCTTCATCGGCCAGGCAGGAATTGCTCAGGCAGGAGGTTGGAGGCAGACAGCTCAGCGAGCACACCCTCAAGGTTTCTGATGCAGGCTCGCTTTCGTTGTCTCACCTCCACTACTGTGATTGTGAAGGGTCCGACATTTTGCTCGCACCTCGTGGACCCCTTCTCTGCATTCATTCAGGACGATGACATCCGGTCCAAGATCCGGGACGAGTTGGGTGACTCTGCTGGTGACGCGGCCGACGGCATCGCTTTCCTGCCCTTCAGCGATTTGGAGGCCAGCGTGAAGGCTGACATCCGCATCATCAAGGAGGTGCGCTTGTGATTACTATTTGTTGTTTTGCGCAGTAGGCGATAAAAGCGGCAGCACACAGTGTTGAATCAGGTCACACTGCCTACACCCTGGCCCACTGTACACAGCTGTTGGCTGCTGTGGCGCGCTTCTGAGGGTTTGTATGCACCTTGCCACCCCCACCGACAGGCGGCCATTGTTGACGGGGACGTGCCGGTCCACGGCTTTGTGTACGACGTGACCACGGGCCGGCTCAACCCTGTCAATTGAGGAGCACCACGATTTCAGACGACCGGGCTCCCCCGGCTCCACACTTCGTTCAGCTGTGCTGCAAGTCCAACCACCCAACTGTTGCTTTCCTTGTCTAAGGCGCGATGACGTATGACCTGTTATTGTGCACGCGCACGCAGTGCCCACTTTCTGTTCCAGATTAGTTGCTGTCGTGTGTAGCTGCTGTGAAAATCCTGGTGACTTGCCTGCGCAAACGCGTGCGCCATGTAAATGGGCAAGCAGCCTATCCATGGACAAGATCGTTACTGGACTGTTACAGGCGGGTTGAGGTTCAAATCCTAGAGGCATTATTGAGCTGTCTTTGTTACGTATGGCGGTCAGACGGCGCAGAGGTCACAGTCACTGAGAGGTTGTGGTCGGTCACGGCAATAATCCTGCTGGTCAAGTCGCAAGGTCAGGGTCAGGAGCTGAGCGCGCCGCATGAAGGGTGCCAGCAGGCTCAGGCATCGCTGTCGCTATCCCCAGATGTCAGGGCGCCCCAGGCTGGTGCCCGCTGCGACCCTTGGGCCTTGGACGCCGTCGCACTGCGCCTCAACGGCGGCTCACGTCCTCGTTCCGGTGCTGCTGGCTCGCGGAAGCTCACTGTCTGCCGCAGCCGTGGAGCAGGACCGGCTGGTTTGGTTGGGGGCACGCCGCTATCGCCACCAACCCCGACAGCGTTGCTATTGCCGCTGCCCGGCGGGTCTTTCCCGCTGGGCAGGCTTTTGAGACTGAGGGAGTGCCTGAGCGCGTCGGGGTTGTACCCCCCCGCAATCAGCCCCGCCGCAGAGGCAGCGCGGCTAGGGCTGCGAGACGGTAGCCCACTGCCAACTGGGTGCGACGGTTCTGGGGCGGTGACCTTGCCCACGCGGCTGCCACTGCGGCGATAAGCCATGCTGCTGCTGGTGCTTAGGCCGGCTGAAGCCAACCCTCCCGCCGGCCCTGGAGCCTGCACACGAATGCCGTCACCCTTGCCGCGCATGCCTGCCACGCCCTCCTCCTCGTCACTGCTGCTGCTGAAGCTCAGGCGCTGCTGCTGCTGCTGCGAGCCACCAACGCCATTGTCCCACCCACGACTGCTGCTCTGGCGCAAGGAGGGGCCGCGGCTGGAGGGCAGCCCGCCCGCCGCCTCAGCTAATTGCAGCGCACGGGATGCACTCCCGTTGCGGTCGTTGCTGCTGGCGCGTTGGGAAGACAGCAATCGGCCCTGGAACAAATGGGCCAGCTGCTCTATGCGGCTGCCATCCTTGGACTGAGGGCCGCTTCTTGCGTTCCTGACGAGTTCGCCGGCTTCCCTGCCTGCGCTGCTGCTCCTGCTGCTGCGCCAGTTGCTTGTGTCGACATCAGCCCCACCCGTGCGAACCGCCAAGCTCATTGCTCGACTGGCGGCATGATGGGTGCGCGGGCTGCTGTCACCAGCGGCCTGGGGGGCCTGCCTGCGCCCAGGAGAAGATTGGGCCCCTGCTGGCAGAGATGCGATTCGCCGCAAAACCCTGCTGCTGCTGCTCCCTGTCCTGCCACTGCTTCCATCATGCGCCCCTCCCTGCACAGCCTGCAGCTGCAGCAGCCGCTCAACCAGGCCTGCGTTAGGGCGCACCATGTGCCCCAGCGGCAGATTGCCTGCAATGCCCGGCGGCGGAGTATCACGTGCTGCTGCTTTGACAACGTCGCCAAGGCGCTGCTCGGCACTTTGGTTGTCAGTCATGCGGCTTCGCAGCTCATCGAGCTGCTGCTGCGCGCGCCTGAGGTCCCGGTCCTTTGAAGACAGCAGCGCATGCAGCTGGCGCGCCCCCGCCGGCAGCCCCTCAGGGACATCCACTGCCTGCTGCGGCTGCGACTGCAAGTGTGGCAGTGGGTGCTGCTGCTGCTGCTGCTGCTGCTGCTGCTGCTGCTGCTGCTGTTGCTGCTGCTGCTGCTGTTGCTGCTGGCACTGCTGCTGCTGCTGCTGCTGCTGGGGCTGCTGGGACTGTGGCGCCTCTGTTTGCGGCAGCTCCTGGGCTGGTGCCTCCCGCACTTCAAGCAGCTGCGCATCCAGCTGATGTCGTTGCTGCTCAGCCTGTTGCTGCTGAGCGTGCCGCTGCTGCTGCTCCTGAAGCAGCTGCTCCAGCTCAGCCAACCGCTGTCCAAGTGCTTCCACCTCCGCCCTGAGAAGAGGAAGTACACAGCTTAGAGTCATTTCAGCCCGTGCTGACAGCAAGCAATCCTTTGTGCAGGCAGGCCACAACCAGTAGATGATATGATGGCTTTGAACAAGCAGACATGTCTTGCGCGCCCGACTGCACACCCAGACGCGCCCAAACACAACGCGCGCATCTCCCACCTGGCGTCGGCCTCCCTCGCCGTTGTCTCATCCAGCCTGGACTGCAGGATCACTGCCGCGTCACGAGCACCCTCCTCTGAACGCCGCAATGCTGCGCTCACTTCGGCGAGCTCGGCCTTCCCTGCGGCAGCCTCGGCCCTGGCGGCCTCGAGCTCGCCCTCGCGTTGCGTTGCCTCCTCCACCACCTCCTCAAATTGACGCTGCAAGAACCCCAGCTCCCGCCGCAGCTCCCCTGACACGCCCTCCGCGACCGCCCTGGCGTCAGCCATCGCTGCCTCCTGCTGGCGGGCCGCCTCGCGCTGGGCGGCGCCCATGCGCCCCTCAAGCTGCGCGGCCCGGCCCCTTTCCTGCTCCAGGTCATGCTGCGCCAAAGCCAGCGCGTTGCCTGCGGCCGCTCGTCGCAAATCGGCATCGGCCGCGGCCGCCCGCGCGTCCTCCAGGTGGCCCTGCAGCGCCGACGCCTGAGCCCTCAACGCGCTGGCCTCGCGCTCTGCCGCTGCCTCTGTTTCGGCCAGCTGGGCCGCCAAATGGCGCACCCGCAGGCGCAGCCGGCGCTGTGGAGAGCCATCACCTGCACCTCCATCATCCCCCTCGCTGCCGCTCTTGCGACCTGCCGCCTGATCGTCCTCACCGTCCCCGCCATCGACCTTGCTGAGCGCAGCTGCAGCAGCCAGTCGCTGCTGCAGCTCCCTGACACGCCCCGCCAGGGACGCCTTGTCAGACAGCGCCCCCTCCAGCCGCGCGTGGGCTTCGTCAAGAGCGGCCTGCAGCTGCCACGCCTGGCGCTCAGATGCTGCCGGTGACGGAGGACGCGCGGCCGCACCCGCCTCTGCATGCCGCAGCCGTGCGATGAGCTCAGTGTTGTCGGAGCGCAGCGCACCCAGCTCTGCCGCCAGCGCCGCCGCCTCGCCCTCGCGTGCAACCAGGAGCTCTGCCAGGGCGCTGCGGCTGGTCCCCACGTGCGCTACGCCGTTGGGTCGTGTTGGGGACAGGGAATAGGCGGTGCGCGGAGAGCCTAGCCCGCCGCCGCCGCCGCAGCGCGTCATGCTCAGCTGCTCGTGAAGCTGGGCGCAGCGGTCCTGCTCGAAGCACAGCCGCTCCTGCAGCGCCGACGCTTCACGCGCCGACCGCTCCTGCGCCGCGCGCGCCTCTGCCAGCTGGGCCGCACCACTCGCAGCCTCGTCTCGGGACGCGCCCTTGTGGTCACTCAGCGCGCGCTGCGCGGCTGCCGCCTCCTCGCGAGCGGCGGCGGCGGCCGTTTTGGCCGCGGCCGCCTCGTCGTGCAGGCGCATCGCCTCAACCCGCGCCTCTGCCAGCTGCTGGCGGGCGGCAGACAGCGATTGCTGTGCAGCTGCTGCTTCCGCTTGTGACGCCTTCCAAAAATACGAGAGCAGAGCGGGGGAACATTTGAGTGTGTTACGCTGTTATTCGATTGTAAGCCACGTGTAAGAACGGTCAGCACAGCAAGCTTCACCCCCCACACGATGTGGATTCCGTTGCAGTTTACCTGCTGGGCACGCTCTGCCGCCGCCTTGGCTGCAGTCGCGTCCTCCCGCGCAGACGCCACCATCTGCTGCAGCTGCGCCACCTGTGCCTTGGACACGTCCAGTCGCGCGGCCGCCTCGCGTGCCGCCGACTGTGCAGCCTCGAGCGCCTTCGACTGCTGCGCCTTGAGCGCAACGGCGCGTGAATCTGCGTCACCTCGCCGTGCCGCGTCAGCAGCCAGCTCATGCCTGAGAGCGTTGATGCGCTCATCATAGCTGCGTGCCAGCTGCTCTGTCGCCTCTGAGTGGGCGGCATCGGCAGCGGCAATGCGCTGCTCCGCCTCGCGGCGTGCAGCATTGAGCACCTCCTGGGGACGGCCAGCCGTTGGTTCCGGGACCGCAGGAACGTCAGGCTTGATGTGGTTGGGGGGGCACGATCATGTTGGTTGGCTATGCGCACACACACAGAGGTGCTGCAGATGCAGCGTTTTGGCAGCCTGGTCGTACATTGAGTCCCCAGGCGCACGCCCACCTCCATCTTGACGCGAGCGGCCGCCAGCTGTGCCGCACCACGCGTCGCCTGCTCCTTGAGCTCCGCGTTGGCCGCCTGCAGCTCTGACACCTGAGACTGCGCAGCCGCTGCGACCACATCCGCCCGCTCGCGCGCCGCCGCCTCTGCACTGGTTGCTGCCAGGGCGCGCGCGCACTCGGCCTCCACACCCAACAGCCTCGCCTTCAGGTGTTCGACTGCCGCAGTGCGCTCTGCGACCTCTGCTGCAGCCCTGTCTCTGGCAGCAATCAAGTCATCCACGCGGGCCGCGGCGTCGCGAGCCCTAGCCTCTGCCGCCTCTTTGAGTTGCCTGAGCTCTGACACTTGGCGCTCCATCAACACTGCGCGCTCCGCCGCCGCCCGCTGCTGCGCCTGAGCCTCTGCCACCTCCCGCCGAGCCCCGTCGATCCCAAGAGCAGCCTCGGCCGTCGCCGCCTCGCTTCGTGCCAGGGCGGCTGCCAGCCTCTGTGCCCGCTGGAAGAGACCCTCCCTTGCGGCCGCCCCTTGCCCGCCTCCAGCGCCCCAGCCCTGGTCAGGGCTGAACAGTGGTTGTGCGCCACCGCTGCCGCAACCACTCCAGCTGCAAGTGGGCGGCGAGACGGCGCCATCTGCTCCATACAGCTGAGCCACCAGGTCGCGCCGCTGCTGCTCCAGCGCGTCGGCGTTGGCTGCTGCATTAGCCAGGCGCGCGTGCGCCTCTTGCAGCGACTCAGCAAGGCCCTGAGGCCCGCAGCCGCATGCAGGTGTGTGGTGGTGAAAGGGAATCAACTGAGTAGAAGTTTTTCTCAAGGACTTGCTTCAGAGCACAAAGAATGCTTGCCTTCATCACCGGCAAGCGCACCACCAGGCGCCGCGCCCCAGCAGCCCACCTGGGAGTGTCGCCGCTCCTCATCCAGTGCCGCCTCGAGCGCTGAAGCATGCGCGCCTGCCTGCGCCGCGTTTGCCTTTTCCGCCTCCAGCCGCCCGTCGCGCTCCGCACATCCCGTGCAGGCGCGCAGCGCCGCGGCTGCACCAGCATCCGCCGCTGCTGCGCGGGCTCGTGCCTCGGCCGCCTCTGCGGCGCGCGACTCAGCGGCGTCCTCCGCCGCGCGCGCACGGCACCTTTGGGCGTCCAGGTCCGACCCAAGCGCTGCCAGCTGGCAACGCAGGCGCGCCGCCTCTGCCTCGGCATCCCGCAGCCTGCCGGCCGCGCCCTCTGCCGCGACGCTGCTGCGCTGGGTGTCGATCTCCGCGTCAAGCAGCGCGCGCCTCAGCCGCGCCGCCTCGTCCGACGCCGCCGCCAGCGCCGCCGAGCGCTCCGCGAGCTGCTGGCGCGCTGCGTCGCGCTCCTGCTGCATGCGCGCTGCGTCCAGGTCCCGCCCCGCCGCCTGCTGTGCTGTTGCGTCCTGCACTGCCGCCTCCAGCTCCCTCAGCCGTGCAGTGGCACCGGCGAGCTGGTAGCGCAGCTCGTGGTTGGCTGCCTCCAGCTCCACGACCTGTGAGGGTGGTACGCAAGATGCGATGGGCGCGCAAAGCACAGGGTGCTGCGACAACGGTGCGCCGCCATGCTGATGCTGTGAGCAAAGCAGCATCATGTGTCTCTCAGGCGACTCTGGCGGGCGGGATGAGACCCTGCACCTGAACAGGGCTTGGCGCCTGCACCAGACGGACTGCCGCCGCAGCCGCCAGCTCTCCCTGCTGCCGCTCCACCAGATGCTGCAGCTCGTGGGCCACGCCCATCCTGCGAAGCAGGCGTGGCATGGCACATCGAGGGTGATTCGTGGCGCGACAAGAACTATGTGATCCATGAAGCGGGGTGCAACACATGGATGGTCAAACGCCTGTCTGCTCAGTTGCCACCTCCTCACGCTCTTCAAAGGCCCACCATTTTCTCAGGCGGCCCTTGATTTGCGCGCGCGCCAGCTCGGCGTCTAGCAGCCGCCGCGACACTGCCGCCTCGACCTCTGCTGCCGCGCGCCCGGAGCCGAGGGGTAGCCCCAGCAAAAACTCCTCCACGCCAGCGGCAACGGCGGCAGGGGCCAGGTCTTCACACTCGGACAGCACGCTGGCCTCGGGCAGCAGCCACTCGCCGGCAGGGGCGGCCAAACTGCCGGGTGCACGCTCGGTGCGCTCCGACGAGTGTTCCGCCCATGGAGCGCCGTGTACGTCAACAGACGACGCTCTGCAATGGCAGAGGTGGCAGTGAGATTTTACAACAACAGCCGCAGAGCCAGGGTGCGATCACGCCTGCTGTACGCATGCCCGCTGGCGCCCTCCCAATTTGCGGCGCACAAATCGCGCCGCACCTGGCAGCACCGCCATTGTCGTGCAGGAACAGCGTCCGTCGGGCAGCGCCTCTGCGTGCGACAGTGGACAGATTACTTTGCGTCTTTTTGGTGCGTGCGATGTGCAGCCACGCGTACACCGATGTTGCCGCGCGCTGTGTACCTGGTCGACCCACGGTTCCTGGCTGTATCCCTCATGGGCCGAACGCGTCGCAAACCCGGTCAGCACCGTAGAATGGTGTTGCGGGTTAGGTAAGCCCGCTCGCTCGAGCTCGGCGAGATGATCTGCGTTGTGGCGCCATAACACTCAAGTGGATTCTTTTTCGCCACCTGATGCAGTTGAAGTTGTGCTGAAGCACAAGATGCCGCAGGCTAAACAGGGTCGCGGTTCTGTGCTTGCCCGTTGCCGGTCAACGCAGGTCAACTGGACCGGTCATGCTGCTGTGCAATATCTCTCGCGAGGCTCAAAGGCACAGTGGTGATCTCTACACCCACAGCACGGAGTTTTGTGCCGAGCGCCTGATAAGAACGGCTACCATCGTCACAACATGCTGTAGCTCGCTTTTGCCAAGAGCTGTATCACACCCTGTGTGCAAGTTGACAGCGACTGCGATGATTGTTGATGGCAGGGCACTGCAGCGGGACGGTTCAGACACAAGGGGCTGCTCAGCAGCATGAATAGCACATACCGCAGTGTGAGGTTGAACAGAGATGTGCCCGAGGAGCGATGGTAATACCACTGTTGTCGCCAAAGTAGTGGGGTGCAGAGTGCACTGCCCATGTCAACGCGCTTGTTGGACACACCGACGGAACTTGGCGAGAGTATGCAGTAGGGCGCGCTGCATATCTGCTTGAAATCGTGGCAAAACTACCGTGTGCAGGATTGGCCCTGTTCCATGCAGCTCTTGTCCTGGGTACAGTATCAAAGGAGATTCTTGCCCCCAAGTCGCTCATTCTGCATATATAGTTGCCTTGTGTACACTGACTCAGTGCACAGCTGCGCGAGTCAAGGGTCCCCCTATGGGGAGCCAGGTTTGTCCCCTGTCCATGCGTTTTCCCCTACTGCTGGAAAAGCATGGTGTGTTTGATGCTGCAATGCTGCATGATCACAAGATTACTGACGACTCCAGGATATGATGGGTCGGTATGTATACGGTTTGCTTGCTGTGTCACGCGGCATGTGTAAGAGCAGGTACTTTACAATGAAAACTTGGACACTGATCAAGTCCTTTTGATAGCATAGAGCAGAGCGCTAGAGTTCGCTTGAACAACCATAAGCAAGGGTAAATGACACTTTCAGCATATGGTACGACATGCAGCTCGAAGGCGAGGCTTGCTGCTTCTCAACCTGCACGCCGCCCCCCCCCCCCCCC